CGCCTGGGTGCCCCAGGGGCTCGGGACTGGGTGACAAACCACCACCTGAGGGTGGCCCTGGGGCCATGGGGCTGGGCAGGGGTTGCAGAGGAGGGAGGGATGCAGGGACAGACGATGGGGACAGTGGTCCCCAAGGAGCATCCCTCCCTCTCGTGTCCCAGCCCCTGCTCTTGCTTAGAGGACTCCTTTCCTGCTGGGTCCTGTGGTGCTCAGTTTGTCCCTCCCCATGTCCCCGGCTCCTCCGTGGCTCGGGGACCACAGGCTGGGCCTGGGGGGGTGACTACCCGATGGGGACAGAGAGGGACCATGCCTCCTTGCATGCTGCTTGCGGCAGAGCCATGGCAGCTCCTGCGCTGCCCCCCTCCCCTTTGCTGCCCTGACCCCAGTCCTGGGGCCAGTTTCCAGTCCCGCAGTGCTGGGCTGAGCCAGGCTGGAAACGATCGTGGTAGTGCCAAAGTTTGCCAAGCTGGGGGTCCCAGGGGTCTCGGTGCTCTGTGGGGATCAGCAGTGACACCTGCGTAGCCGTGGTGCCGGGATCTGACCTGGGCTGGGGAGGACTCACCGATCTCGCTGCCGGCATGGCCCCTCTCTGGGCTTCGGACCGTGGGATTTGCACCCTCCCCCTTCCCAAGCCCCCCTGTGCCTCTGCTCCCAGCAGCGGGGACCCCTGCCCCTGCTTCTTTTTCTTGCCTTGTTAGTGCATGTGGCCAGCGCGGGCCGTGCCAGAGCCACTCGCAGCCTCCCCCCTGCTCCTGCACCACCCCGGCCTCCTCTCCTCACCCCGGGGGTGCCCGTGCCCCCAACCGGGCCGTGGGGCAACGGTGTCACGGGGGCACGAGGGGACGGCCGGGTGCCGTGGGTGGGCAGACGGTGGGTTGGTGCGTGGGTGCCCAGCCGTGGGGCGAGGGTGCATGCAAGAGCTTTGCCCGCAGCCGCACGCAGGAACTAACTCGTAGGACCCTCCCCGAGGCTGGCTGGTCCCCACAGACCTCCCCAGCCAGCGGTAGTTACCTCACTTGATTAACTTATTAACTTATTTGTTTCATTAAAATTTGGAGTAGAGGCTGCCTGCCTGCTGTCTCTCTCCCGGCTCTCCCGAGAGGTGGCACTCCAGCCCTGCCGCCGAGTGCCGCAGCTGGAGGACCCAGGCGTTCGGCCAGGGGACCCGTCCGGCCACCTCCCTGCCCCCCCCTCCCAAGCTCCTCTCGAACCATAGTTGCCCCCCCGACGTGGGAGCAGGGTCCCAGCTCTGGCTCGATCTCCCTCCCCGGCTCCATGGTGCCGTGCGCCTGGGGGCTGGAGGCCTGATGCCGCTGCAGAGGGGCCCGTACCCTGCGTTTAGAGCCCGGGGCTGGCAGGGAGGGTCGCTGTCCCGGGAAGGGCCGTGCCCCATCTGCCTCTTTAGAAGTGTCACGGTGTGTCCCCAAGCGGGGGTGACGCTGCGATGGCCCCGGGGCCATCACAGGGAAGGCGGGGGTGTGAGCCCCCTTCCCCAGGAGACCACAACCCCTCGAGGGACGGCAAAGCCTTCGCCCCAGCCCCGTGTGCTGGCACCCCATGGGGATGATGTGTCCCCCAGCCTGCAAATGTCAGGGGGGCAAGGGTGGCCCCTTTCCACGCTGCCCTGCCCCAGCACTGGCTGGGGAGGAAGCTGGGGCTCGCCGCAGGTCGGTCCCCGCCTTTCCTGGCTGCCTCTCGCCAACAAACCCATTCCTGGCTCGTCCCAGAGCACTGGGCTGTGCTGAGCACCGCGGGGGCCAGCACCTCCCTGCCCCAGCTGCACCGGCCCCGCTGCCCCCGGAGCTGCCCCGGCCTGCTGGGACAGGGGTCTTGGGATGACTCCGGTCCCCTGGCCCTACCGAGCATCTGGCCTGCAGGGCATGACCCCTGGGGAGCCTTGGCCACCCCCGGTGCTGCGCACATCCGGCTCACATGCAGCCCCGGGGCTGCCAGAAGCTTTGAAGGGGGAGGGGGGAGCGCGCACATCCGGCTCACATGCAGCCCCGGGGCTGCTTTGAAGCAGAAGCTTTGAAGGGGGAGCCAGGACGCGGCAGCACTCGGAAAGCCCCGTGTGAGCAAGCTGTGCCGGGGCAGCACTGCACCGGCCTCTGCCCGGCTCCCCCGGCCGGCTGGGTGGCTTTCTGGGGTGGGTTTGGAGGGATGCGTCTCTGCAACAGCGGGGTCTTCACCCTGCCATGGGGTTGTGCATCGCCGGGGGTGCTCACCCTGCACCCCACGGGGATGACAGCGCTGCGCAATGGGTGCAGCTCAGCAGAGCCCATGTGTGTGTCCCTGCCGTGCAAGGGGGGCAGCTGGGGACGACCCACCTGGGTCTGGGCTCTTTGCAGGACTCCATGCGGTGGGGCCCAGGGGCACTGGGACCTTCTCCCTCCCCCAGAGCAGCTGCAGGTGGTGGCGGTGAGGGCAGGGCAGGCGTGCGTGCCAGCCCGCGGCACTCGGCTCTGCTTCCCGTGGCCACGTGGGCCCAAGGTGCCCCAGCTGGACTTTGCCCCGCTCCACCTTGGCTCCCCCATGTGTGCGAGAGGCCGCCACTCCCCAGAGCGGGGACAGGCCTGGACGGCGGGCACACGCAGGGGGGAAAATGCCAGCATCAGAGGGACGCAGCGAGCCGTGACCCCGCAGTGCCGGCTCACCGCATCCCGCCGAGAGCGACACTTGGCACGCTGAGCACAGCTGCAGGAAGGGGGTGAGGGGGGGGGGTGCTTGCAAGCGCTTGGGCTGTTGCCACTCCCGCCTCCACACACAAGCCCTTATCGGCTGGGGGGGGCCGGGGTCTGCAACGGGAACGGGAAGGGGCCAGCTTTGCCGGCAGCGCCCCACGGCATCCTCAGCCGCTGCCAGGGATCTGCCTGGCAGGAGCACAAGGACCGGGAGCAGAAGCTGGGGATGTCCTTTTCACCAGTGGCTTTGCTTTGTCCCCTGAGGGTCTTGAGGAATTTGTGACTCACTCTGGATTCCTGTCAGTCCAGTCATGGAGAAAGTACGTGTGGTTGGAGACAGTTGGACTCCGGGCCGGACCCAGTTCCTTCCTGAGGCGCTCAGCAGCCCTCCAGCTCGGCGCGCTCTGCCCAAGGCCACGCTTGCAGGAAAAGGCCCTTCCAAGAGTGCTGGCGTGGGGGTCTCGGTGGGTGGGGCTCTTACAAGACCCTGGTTTGGGCACCCAGAACGCCCTGGGGTCCCTGGGAGCAAGGCAGCCCTCACGCCCAGTGGGATACAGTGCTCCCTGCCCATGGGCACCGGGGTGCAAGCACACCCTGACTGGCCGCAGCGTCCTCCCCGCAGGCTGCAGCTGGGAGCCGGGAGCCCTCCAGCCCATGGCCCCGGGCTCAGCCCCTGCTCTGGCTCCCGCGGCCACCCAGGGAACCCCGCTCCCTCCTGCCACCCATGGTGCCTCCCGTCCTGGCTGCCATGAGGCATCTTCAAGGGTCGCTGTCCCGGGAAGGGCCGTGCCCCATCTGCCTCTTTAGAAGTGTCACGGTGTGTCCCCAAGCGGGGGTGACGCTGCGATGGCCCCGGGGCCATCACAGGGAAGGCGGGGGTGTGAGCCCCCTTCCCCAGGAGACCACAACCCCTCGAGGGACAGTGGTCCAGGAGATGCTCCTCGCGGGCCAGAGGCAAGCAGGAGCCCCCAGGGCAGGCAGCTGAAGCCCTACAGTGAGTACTGGTGCTGCAGAGGGAACCAGAGCCTGCAGGGCGGCCAAGACCCCCCTCCCCGGGTCCTGAGCACCTGGCTGGACGCTGGCGCTGGCAGTGGGGACACAGGCCTGACTCCATGTGACAGTGGCTCCGTGTCGCGGGCTGTGATGGGATGTCCCTGTCTCGCTTGCATCCAGCTGCCCACACTGCAGCCAGGGTGCTGGGAGGGGGGAGTCACGCAGCCCCCCTTCTCCTCTCCTCTCCTCATCTCCCTACACCCTGCCCCAGGCAGCAGTGGGGAACCCCCTGGATGGAGCGGGGGGGTGCTGGCAGAGCTGCCGGGACCCCCCAGTTTGTGAGGGCACGGGCTGGGGGGCACGGGGAGCAGGAGCCGGAGCCGGGGAGACCCCCGGCCCCGCGGGGGAGGGAGG